AATGTTTTAAAAAATATAATAGTGATATTTTGGCATTGAGCTGATTTTGGGATTTGGCCAAAATGTAGGTAAAATTTATGGCCAAACATATATTTGCCAAATAAAATTCAAGTTTATTTTGGCAAAATCTATTGGCAAAGAGATATCTCCCAAATATCATCATTAGCTGTGCACCTCTTGAATTGTATCTTCGACTGTACGGAAAATGAAGCAACTGAGGTTTTCGGGATTCTACATGGGATGTCTTGCAATTTTGAGTCTTGGCCCCGGCGACTCGGTTGGACTGTAAACTTGTTAGTATTTCAATTTCTGGGATTTTGAAAACGAGAACAGTTGTTTGCCTTTTTCTAAACATAGCCACATGAAAGCTAGAAAATTCTAGTAAAAAGGAAAAACAGTCAATAAGATGCTGTATTTTTTCATTATTATGGCAGTATTTCGATCAGCTCAATTATTCTACCAAATATATTTTACATGTTATCATCGCTTGAGATGATTTTATGAGCAGCCTATTCCCTTTAACCAAATATATTGTGCGGTTTCGGGAATTTAATGTGTATTGTATGGATCCTATCACTATAATTCAATTAAAACAGACAACATTGTAACTTATACTCTACTAGATAATGGGTTTAAAACAAGCTGCGGTTTATGTAAACTTACAATTATACTGTAACGCAGTTTTGAAAATGTCAATACTTTCTATCAGCAAAATGTAATATCCTCAGCAACCTTCCAACTGTAATCGTAAATAAAATAATTATTAAATAATTATGCTAATATATGCAATCCACAAGGATGAATGAAGTTCTTTGAAAGTTTAATATTCATTAAATGGTAATATACGCGTCCACAAGATTGTACTTATTAAAAGGATAGCCCAATAAAAGGAAAGAAATTCTAAGATAAGTACTTTTTCTTTGAAGGCTGCTTCCTCTTAGCATGAATTTCACTTGTAGAATTTGACTTGCTACTGTTATCATCATTAAAATTAGCAGGGTCTACATAGGACTGGTAACCAGGAAACCTGAGGCGAAATCGAAAAAATTAAAAAATAAAGACAGCAAAAAGAGCTAGTGAGGCAACAAAAGATATGCCAAGATTAATACATGCAATATTTTCACATATATTACCTGCTCACTTTTGTGGCTTCTCCATCTTCAGTCATTTTCACATCAAATATGTTTCCTGCAAACAATTAACAGTGAACTACTCAATCATATCTGAAGCTTTTAGGGAAGAAAATGGTAGGGCTGACTTCTAAACAATTCTTAGCCTATCAATGGCAAACTGAAATTGATCTAAAATAAAACGGATACAATTATCCCGTCACAAAGATAAACATTTCCTTTTGTTGTGCATGTCGAAAAACAAATAGCAAGACAAAAGATGTAGCAGACTCGCCGAAAATATCATCCCTGTTGGTTAACCTTTACATGCTGGTTCTCAATCAAAAAAGTCTTACTATACAGGCCTTAGGTCTGAGGAAGTTAATGCTAAAGTGATTATTTTACTACTGTTGCAAAGCAATAAACAGATACAAAGTAAAGTACCAAACTACAGTATTGAATATGCATTTCCTATTGACCCTAGTCCTTCAATGTGTTGTCTTTATTGCTTTGAGAAAGGGTGTTTTAAATAGTTTTCTTGACAAAATGATCTACAGTAGCATCTGTATTTAGGGAGAAAGAGCAGAAAAAGTAGACACAAAGATAAAACACTAAAATAAAGATATGAAGGTACTCAATTAAGGTATAGGAAGAGAGGTAAAACCAATAGACACTATTGTGATCCCTAAAACACACAACTGAGGTGGATAAAGAGTATCTGCCAAAAGTGAGCAAATGCAGTTCACAAGAACCAGCAAATGTACTGACATACAAATGCAATTATGAAACTCCAGCATGCATCAATAAAAAATTAACCCTTCTGGTTTAATACTGATAACAAATGCGCTTATTGTGTATCTAAGGAGTGTTTACCTCCAAAGATATTCTTGTCTGAGAAGTACTTGGACATCAAATATCTCCTGCACTCAACTTCATACCTCTTGAACTTCTCAATCTGTTCCCTCTCCATATAGCTACATGATAAACAAGATAAAAATTGGGACATCGTATGAGCTCACAATACACTTAACATGTAGATGACTTGCACTGGAACTAATTAAAATGAGTGCTAACATAATAGGAAACTGACAGAGAAGTGATTAATGCATTCCAAAATTTTCTTTTTGCGGGGCAGATAAGTATCATTTTTGTATAATCTCCTGACCCACGGAAGCAAATTGGGATGATGAAAGAGAATTAATCAATGTCTCTATTCAATACAAGCTGTCACAAGCTTCTCTAATAGCAACTGGTAGCCAAATGAGCAGTACCTATTGATCCTTCCTTTTGGGAAAGTATTAGAACCTTAGATCATTTTTACGATTGCATCTTTTATCAATTTTCTTATTAGTTACCACCAACCCAACCCATAGGAAGAAGGGGAGGAATTGGTGCCAAATTTTATATGTTAAACTCCAGATATATTAAAACAATTGCAAAGAGGACTTTATTATATGTGATAAACTTTTACATCATAAAGCTTCAACTTGAAAAACCAGGCAAAAATCTAAAAGGGAATAGACGCAAATGGATAAAACACAGGATAATCCATAATCACAAATGTAGCAGCAAAAGGATAGAGGGAAAAGAAATAAAAGAGAACAGGATCTCCATTCAACCAGACAGGTAAAATTTCATACACGCATTCAATAGACAAAAAAGGACTTTAATCAGTTCATAAAATTGAAAGCTGGCATTAACCTAGGTACCTTGCAAGACTGCGGCGATGCTAACACAGAAGTGAAACCTACTGTCTTAGCCCTCTATCCTTATATATACGCGCGGGGATAATTTAGCAAGTCAGATAACATTAGTAAATTCCAACCTATAGAAAGAAATAAATGAGCAGATAATACCAATGCCCGAGCATTTTGAACAACAAATATGCATTTTTTAGTGAATTTTGACTACTGGAGCTAGCTCAGAAGTTCAGACTTTCCAAATGTGGCCCAAACAAAAAATCCCTTCTTACTGGGCCCACCAAGAGCCCAGTCCAATATAATTGAAACTCTGGGCTACCACAGCATAGCCTGGATAGAACAGCAAGACGGGTATGAGAGGAAAGTCAAATAAACAGATTAAAGAAGCATAGATAACGGATTGTATCGACTATAAATGATGAAAAACACACTTCATAAAGTAAAGAAGGATGCAGCTGTCAGCATAGAGAAGATAAATTCATTTTATTATTTAGAGGACCGACAAAATCCAACTAGGAATGATGAAACACAAACACTTGCAAGATGAAACAAATTAGCGGCTACTTAACAAGTTTTAAATATTGTTATACAAAAGAGTATTTACCAGGAGATAGGATAACTTATACAAGATTGTATTAACAAGCAGTAATTGTAACAATCTGGTTACAGCTAACCAAACTACTTGCTGATTCTTGTTGTGTCACCAAACAAATTTTTAAGTTCATTAGTAGTAGAAGAACCGAAGGTTTATAGAGTACTTAACATTCTGTAACTATTCAAGAATTGGAGTATCACATTATTCTCCTGTCAAACCCTTTATGTCTTTGTTAGACCTGATCCTAGGATTTCATCAATCCGTGACGTGACGGATTACACTTCTGCGATCTGCCAGAAAGCACATTCGGACAGTCATTATGAAAACTTGAGACTGTCCACTAGCCAAGAAACCTTGTTGGATCTATTCTAGCTTACAAGCTTAAAGCCAAGTTTTTGAAGTGGTTTGAGAACCTAAAGGCTCAAAACCAACTCATAATTCTATATAATTTTCAAAGGCGTAGCGTCTAATATTGATAGTTGAAGAGCTTTACAAATGAATTACAAGAAGAGTAAAGAGCAAGTAGGTAAATAATAGGTAAGTGAAGAAGATTTGATGCTTTATTTATAATCTCGATTGTAAAACAGAGAAGTATCTTTGTGCTTCCTAACTTTGCGATGAGAGGTACTTTCCAAAATTTTCCTTTAGTAAGTATACATCATTCTCTGGATTTTAGAGTAACTGTAACACATAACTCGCATTCCGACATATATTTTGGATATGGACTAACCCATTGCTACAGAGCAAAAGAGTTAACAACCAATTCAGTACTTGTTTATGTCTGATTGTGACACTTGAAGCCAATAATGTCCTAAAGCATTCTTCCAAAGCCAACAATGAGCTCTAAAGGCATTAACAAAGAATACCTAAGAGGCCATGCTATTGCAAGAGAATCTCTTAAAAGTTACACCAGGTTAAATCATAGTAAGAGCATGACATTACCAATCAACTCTTCACAGAGATCCATGAAGACAAAAAATCACAGCAAAGAAGTAACACACAAATGGTCAGCTCGATGATCACACGCACATAATAAATACGAAGTACGACGAGCTAAGAACATAAAATCGCACCCAAGGGTTTGGCCTAGCAGTCATTAGTCATTGACTGTGGGTAGAAACCTTGAAGACAAGGGTTCAAATTCTACCAAAGACAAAAAATACCCACTTTTGTCACGACCCAAACCGATGGGCCGCGACGGGCACCCGGTGCCTTACCTAACCGAGCACCAACGTAACGTATCTTTCTTATCATACCATCATGGGTAAATGGGCCAGAAGGGCCGTTATGAGATAACCAGAATAAAACATAAGGGAATACTAAATATAGGACGGCCCGACATGATATAGAAACTTATACATGTGACATACGGGCCTATAAGGCCGACATGATCATTTGTATACTCAAAACATAGGTCGATAAGGCCATACAAGTATCCGTGTACATGACATCTGTCTACAAGCCTCTAAGAGTACATAAATGTCATAAAGGTCGGGCAAGGCCCCACCATACCAATCAATACATGTCCAAATCATACTGACCAAATAGGCAACTTCGGAGCAAGTGGAGTGCACAAACACCTTCCGCTGATAGCCTACTAGAAGAACTCTCAACCTGTCTATCGGGACCTGCGGGCATGAAACGCAGCGTCCCAGGCAAAAGGGACGTCAGTACAAATAAAGTACCGAGTATGTAAGGCATGAAAGTAATATATAAAAGACATGAAAGAAACATGGAGTAAAGAATTCAACCTGTAATTCTGAATAACTCTGTGAATCATGAAAAATTTATAATGTCATAGGTATATGCGTATATAACACCATCAAGCCTCTGAGGGCATCTCAGCCACTGTGGGCAAAATCATCAACGTATACCAGCTGATCAGGTGGTGGTGCGTATATAACGCCATAACCTTTCCCCATACTTCATATACATATACTATACGCCATCTGGTCATGGGTAATATACATGTATAAATGAATGCAATGCATAATGAAGTAAATCAATAAGATCCCTCGGAATGTAATGAGACCCATGAACAAATGATATGATAGTAGGACATATAGGGAATTAAGAACATAGGCAACCCTAGTACTTCTAGGAATAGAATCATTTGTGAAAGTTGCGTGCTTGCTCGTTTCGTTGCATCATGTCAAAAGGAAAGAAGGGATGACCTTAACTCCATTGAGTCCTTAATACCTTCAAAGCAATTCTTCGAACAACTCAACTCAATCTACCATAGCATAAGGAGATTCAAAATCAGTGTTGAGTAAAGGCTAAGTCCGCAACTTAAACTAGTAGCTTGTTTACGTAAATTTGGGCAGCATCTCCCTTGTAACAAGAGCCTCCTCCAATACCATATACCAACAACAATGACCAGAGCAATCCAACAATACATAATTATCAATAACAAGACACCATATAACAACAACTCACAACTACTTCACGACGAGCTCCAATTGGAATCTGTATACCTCATATCACCCCTTATAGACTTCTTACTTTAACTTAATAGTATCATTAACATGATAATGAAGTCATTCATCAATGATTCCAGCCTTATACCATATATTTATAACAAAGAAAGCAATCCACAACTCCAATTATCCTCAATTAGCAACTTTATTCACTAGTTCATGTCTAGTCCATCCATTTAACTTAATCAATGTCAAGATAACCTTAAGCACATACAAGAACACAATATACATACCTCCTACAGTAGCTTCAAGTCGAAATCCAAGTTACATTTAGCTTATAACATCCCCCAATGTCAATACAATACCATAGAAGTAACTTAAGCTAATCTTCACTTGCAATCTCAAGTTTCATATGTTTCTTTCATCAATTCACTTGATCAACATAATGCATCACAACAGAAACCATATCATAATAAAGTTATTTTCACCATAACAATATATATATATATAGCCTTAAAACAACCCAACAAAAAATAACATCTCTTCCACTTTCAAGTGTTGTCTTGTAATCTTCATCCAAATAACTTAACCAACACATAGATAAGATTAATCCCAAGAAATAAGATGTTATACATACCTTAAATAATCTGGAAAACCTCGAACCAAAGCTTCCCTTAGCTTACAAGCACCCTTAATCACATCACAACACCATAGAGACTCTCTTCTTCACTTAGGCTTACTTTGATGTTTGATTATAGTGTATTTCTTTGGAGCCTTTGGGGAACTATTTGAGAGGGGGTTTGGAGAGTGTGAGGCTAGAAGGAGGACGAAAAATGAGCAAAGCTCATCTCAAAAACGAGATAAGAATAAGTGAAGGTCGGGCCCCGACCAAGTGGGTCCCATAGGGGCTTCCTACGCAGTCTCGCAAAAACACAAATATCTATCTACACCGATGTCGTATTGACGAACGGTTTGCAGCGTTAGAAACTAGATACATGGGGCTTTAATTCCATATAAAGTTTGGGAAAAATTGGATTTAAGTTGCGGAAAAATCGAGCTAAGATTTACCTTGTAACGAGCCGTTTTGAGAAATTAAGTTCGTAAGCTTTATGATGTCATTTTGGGACATATATCATAACAAAATGAAGGTATTTGAACCTAATTTCCAACGGTCCAACCCATTTATTCATACGATATCGGGGTAGAGAAATATGGATTTTTAAAGTAGGGTCGCCAAGTCACGTCGTTCGAAGAAACTGGCAGGTTTATAGGCTAGGTTGCGAGGCAATTTTCTTCCAATATATTGAGAGTTACAGGGAGATCTTTATATGGAATTAAAGCTCCATGTACTAGTTTCTAACACTGCAAACTGTTCGTCAATACGACATCGATGTAGAGAGATATTTGCATTTTCGCGAGACTGCGTAGGAAGCCCCTATGGGACCCACTTGGTCGGGGCCCGACCTTCACTTATTCTTATCTCGTTTTTGGGATGAGCTTGCTCATTTTTCGTCCTCCTTCCAGCCTCACACTCTCCAAACCCTCCCAAACAATTCCCCAAAGGCTCCAAACAAATTCCAAAGAAATACACTATAATCAAACATCAAAGTAAGCCTAAGTGAAGAAGAGAGCCTCTATGGTGTTGTGATGTGATTAAGGGTGCTTGTAAGCTAAGGGAAGCTTTGGTTCGAGGTTTTCCAGATTATTTAAGGTATGTATAACACCTTATTTCTTGGGATTAATCTTATCTATGTGTTGGTTAAGTTATTTGGATGAAGATTACAAGACAACACTTGAAAGTGGAAGAAATGTTATTTTTTGTTGGGTTGTTTTAAGGCTATATATATATTGTTATGGCTGGAAAATGGTGAAAATAACTTTATTATGATATGGTTTCTGTGGTGATGCATTATGTTGATCAAGTGAATTGATGAAAGAAACATATTAAACTTGAGATTGCAAGTGAAGATTAGCTTAAGTTACTTCTATGGTATTGTATTGTCATTGAGAGATGTTATAAGCTAAATGTAACTTGGATTTCGACTTGAAGCTACTGTAGGAGGTATGTATATTGTGTTCTTGTATGTGCTTAAGGTTATCTTGATATTGATTAAGTTAAATGGATGGACTAGACATGAACTAGTGAATAAAGTTGCTAATTGAGGATAATTGGAGTTGTGGATTGTTTTCTTTGTTATAAATATATGGTATAAGGCTAGAATCATTGATGAATGACTTCATTATCATGTTAATGATACTATTAAGTTAAAGTAAGAAGTCTATAAGGGGTGATATGAGGTATACAGATTCCAATTGGAGCTCATCGTGAAGTAGTTGTGAGTTGTTGTTGTTATATGGTGTCTTGTTATTGATAATTATGTATTGTTGGATTGCTCTGGTCATTGTTGTTGGTATATGGTATTGGAGGAGGCTCTTGTTACAAGGGAGATGTTGCACAAATTTACGTAAACAAGCTACTAGTTTAAGTTGCGGACTTAGCCTTTACTCAACACTGATTTTGAATCTCCTTATGCTATGGTAGATTGAGTTGAGTTGTTCGAAGAATTGCTTTGAAGGTATTAAGGACTCAATGGAGTTAAGGTATGTTAAGGCCATCCCTTCTTTCCTTTTGGCATGATGCAACGAAACGAGCAAGCACGCAACTTTCACAAATGATTCTATTCCTAGAAGTACGGGTTGCCTATGTTCTTAATTCCCTATATGTCCTACTATCATATCATTTGTTCATGGGTCTCATGACATTCCGAGGGATCTTATTGATTTACTTCATTATGCATTGCATTCATTTATACATGTATATTACCCATGACCAGATGGCGTATAGTATATGTATATGAGGTATGGGGGAAAATTATGGCGTTATATACGCACCACCACCTGATCAGCTGGTATACATTGATGATTTCGCCCACAGTGGCTGAGATGATATGATGGGATGCCCTCAGAGACTCGATGATGTTATGTACGCATATACCTATGCATGGTATGACATTTATACGCACATGCATGACATTATAAATTTTTCATGATTCACAGAGCTATTCAGAATTACAGGTTGAGTATATCATGAAATAAACTTTATCAACTTACGTATTTTCTGAGACCCATGAACAGACGATATAATAATAAGACTTAAGACACATGGAAAATCAAGAACATAGGCACGCCTAGTGCTTCTATGAATAGAGATATTTATGAAAGTTGTGCGTTTGCTCGTTTTGTTTATATCGTGTGGATCATGCCAAAAGGAAAGAAGGGATAGCCTTAACATACCTAGTCTTAACCCACTGGCTCAAGAGCTCAACTCGTATCCACTTCACGATCTATATAATAACAAGAATAATACTAGTGTCAACCATACGAACAATTCTCTTAATCGCATAACGGAAGATAACCTATCCTACAATGAAATGGACATGATTTCCCATGTTCTTATCATTCCCTCAAGCCTACCATATGTAAGGTAATACAACAACACAACTAGCAACTCCCGCAACAAGTTTTACAACCCAAACTATGATACAACGAGCGGCAAGCTCGGGTACGATTATCAAACATACTTCTCCAATATTTCTTTCCTTCAAAACACATATCAATGACAACTACAACTATATATCCAAGTTACTCCCATGATTTTCATCCACAACACAACTTCGAACATTACTGAATATCCGACACAATAACAACAACGTCAAAATGCGATTTTCCGCTATTAATTCCATAATTCTCATTCCACAATTTAGCCATGACCTTGACGAATTTAAATATACCAAGGAGAGGAAAATTCTTACCTTATTTTCCAAGAAATACTCTTATTCCACCTTACTTCACATTGAAGAAAATCCGGATTAACCAACGCGCCAAAACAGAACAACGAGATCGAGGTGGTGCGCAAAACCTATATATTGTCTTTGAGAAAGATTACACTCTTCTTCCATAAATTACCAACTCACATTGCTGCTACTACAATATAAATTCACATTTATGCTATATCCCTTGTGATATAGTACTGTTGCTATGTATAATTTCCAAAGATGAAAGGTTGCTTCAAATTTTTCTACTTCTCGTGAAAATGAAGGAACCAAAATAGTTGTTGCCTAGTTTTATTTATGAAACACCATATTTAGCTAAAGTGATAAAGGAATCATATTTATTGCAATTCTTTCTCATAAGAAGAGTCCAAATAGAGTGTTTTTATCCATCATGGTTTGTGGGGTTCACCCACCTCTTCATTATATCAAGGGGAATTGGGATGACCATCTGTCACTCATAGAATTCGCCTACAATAATAGCTACCATTCCAGTATTAAAATGGCCCCATACGAGGCACTGTACGGGAGGAGATGTAGATCACCAGTTGGATGGTTCGAAGTCGGTGAAACAAAATTATATGGCACAGATTTGATTCACCAAGCCATTGAGAAGGTGAAAGTGATACAAGAGCGACTGAGGACGGCGCAAAGCAGGCAAAAGTCTTATTCCGATGTCCGACGTCATGATCTGGAGTTTGAGGTTGGTGATTGGGTTTTCCTGAGGATCTCACCGATGAAAGGTTTTATGTGTTTTAGGAAGAAAGGTAAGCTGAGTCTGCGGTATATCAGGCCATACAAAATTCTTTGACGAATTGGACAGATTGCTTATGAGTTAGAATTGCCACCCGAATTGGAATTTGTCCACCCAGTATTCCATGTATCTATGTTGAGGAAATGACCCTTCTCGGGGCGTCCCTATCAAAGATGTACAAGATACGGAGGATCTATCATATGAAGAAGTGCCAGTGGCTATATTAGATCGACAAGTCCGCAAGGTGAGAACAAAGAATGTACTCCGTCAAAGTATTGTGGAGGAACAAGAATAAGGAAGAAATGACATGGGAAGCAGAAGAAGAGATGAAGTCTAGATACCCTTACCTGTTCCAGATTAAAGGTTCTTAATAGCTGACCCTTACATATACTCTTCACCTCGTACGTGTATCCTAAAGCATTTTCTGTTTATCCTTAGATAACGAGAATGCTGGGAGAATGCAAAATGCAACGGAAACGGCTCTATGAGGTAAACAATAGCCTGAGAATACTCTTCCTTAATACAAATTGGTGATACACAGCTAATGTACATATCTATAATGCTTTGTATAGCCTTGTGAGGTTGCAGGTCGGATTTAACTGCTTACAGGTTTGGCTGGCGTCCATTTTATATGAGCTACCGCACCTGGGCGTTAGGATATGTCATAGTAAATCCATATAAACTTGGAGGGATTAAGGTTACTCATGTGGCTATAGGGGATTTATGACAGTGTTAACAAAGACCCCGTAATTTTGACAACCTTTTAGTAAAGTTTTGATAAGTTTGCTTTTATGTAGTTATTGTTATTTTTACTTTTCGGATGTGCATTAAATTAAGTACATGATATGCGGAAGTTTATAAATGAAATTTTTCTTTATTAGAAAAATAGAAATTATTTTCTCATAAAGCGAGAAAGTTATTTTTTTATCGTTTTAAGAACTTATAGTAGAAAAATTTGTATTTTGATATTATGTTGGGAAAAATTAGAATTTGATATGATATATTTTTTTTATCAATGTCCTAACCTTTATAAAATATTAACATATTTATTTTGTTACCAAGTATAATAATTACCAATTAATAGATAAGTTTGTAAATAATATTAGCTACTTATTTTACTAGATAAGTATTAACTTTTTTTGGAATAAATTATTTTATCAAAGTAGTTATAGTAATCTGTTAGACTTCCTAGTGCTACGTGACAGGTGATGATATTTTACTCAATTAGAAAGTAGTGGAGTTGGTAGGACAAATCATTTCAATATATATATATATATATATATAAATACACTTCTTCTACACTGAGAAATAGACTTTTGCAATAGTTTGATGATGGGATGTATTTCAGCCGAACATATCCTCTATATACATAGTGTTTAAGACACTTTAGCATTGGGAAATGGGGGAATCATTAGATACATATATTTACACTCCAGCAACTACGTGGGGAGAAACTCTATCTTGCTCATCCCTTGTTCCCTAAAGCAATGAAGTGCTCAAAGTTTTCTTCTACGTACAACTTCTCAATATTTTCATACATCTAGTTAAGGTAAGTTTTATTTTAAGGCATGTAATTGTTGAGAACTCACGGGACGGTGATCGGAAGCCGTGAGTTCAAGTCATAGTAATTGTATAAATAGGTTATGGGCTACTTTTGTATGGTAAGGAGATTGGTGGTGGTATGGTAGCTCGTGTAGAGCTTGGTTGTTGTTAAAAAGAGGTCGGGTGTGGAGTACACCATTGTATAGAGCCTCGGGAGCTTGTCGCTCTTTGATTGCTTGACGATAGTGTTGGCATAGCGGTAGTTTTTAGTTGATGTTGGTGTTGTGTTGTTATTATTATGCTTTGTGAATTTGAAAGAAGAAAGTGTATAAAGCTATTATATACGAGCGTATATTGGTTGTTGTTGGCTATAATAACTTGTGGGAAGTCATATAAATAGGGGAGGTGCTACCCGTTTTATTATAAAATAGGTCGTGGTCGACATATAATAGTTACGACGCTTAAAAGATAACAATAGTATCATTTCTCTTATTGTAGACTAAGGAGTCGTGACCTTTGCATAGCTTGAGGTTGGGCAGTATATACAAGGTATGTGAGGCTATCCCTTTCTTTCTTTTGCACGGCTCCGATTGTACGTAACATAAACGGACGAGCTTCCAAAGATACTTTACTCATAGAAGCTAGTAGTACTTACATTGTTTCCCTTCTTATGGAAAGATTCATGTTGATGTTGCTTCTCTTATTTTTATGTACCAAATGTTGTTAGTATTCCTTGAATCCTATAATATGTATGATGGAGAGTTAGATCCTCTAATAACGTATACGAAGGTTCCCGACCTTACGTCACTCTGAAAGGTTCATAATGTGATTCCATAAGTCCAGCATGCGTTATATGTATGTACCTATTTTACTCTACCGATCCGCGCTATGGTCGGTCAGGTATGACACCTATTGTGCAACCACTGATCAGTTGGGTTTTACCGAGCCTTATGGTGGCAGGGTACGTTTTTACTGAGCCTATTACGACCGGGTACGATATGATGATGATGATGCCCACAGAGGCGTATGTTTTTAAAAGTGTATATATATATATATATATATATATATTATTTTATTTTTATTTATTTATTTTTTTCTATTTTTTTTATATCATGCATTTCATGTCAGTCGTCCTCAGAGGCACTCGGATGTTATAGATGGTATTTTCTCTATCTCTCTTTACATTACTGTTCTTAATTATGTTATCCTGCCTTACATACTCAGTACTTTGTTCGTACTGACGTCTCTTTTATTTGTGGACGTTGCATGTCTTGCCACAGGTCCTAATAGAAAAGTAGACGAAGTTCCTCCACCACGGTAGACTGCTCAGTTCAGCGTTATTGGCGAGACCCCTTCTCTGGACTTGCCGTGGTCTTGGTATGCATTTTGTTATAGACGTTATGGGTAGGTCGAAGCCTTGTTCCGACAATGTTCCAGCACGTATGTTTCTTTAGAGGCTCATAGACAGATGTCGTCTCATGTATAGTTTTGGATAGCCTTGTCGGTCGGTTTTGTTGTATATAGCTTTACGATAGCCTTGTCGGCCCATGTTATATGTGTTTATGTCGTTATCTATCATTGTTGGTTGTTTGTGATTCATGTCTACCATTTATGTTGACCTTGTTAGACCTTACAGATAAAAGAAAGGTTAGATAAAATGTACGTCAGTGCTCGGCAAGTATGGCCGGTTACCAGTCATGACCCTCCAGTTTGGGTCATGACAAACTTGGTATTGTGTTGATGGGAGGTATAAATAATATTTATAAAAAAGAACACTAGTCCAAACAAGAAAAGGGAAGAGAGAAAAACAAGAAGACAAACGACTTAAGTTGCACTCCTCGATCTCAATTTATATGACCCTTTATATTTCGGGACGTCCTGAAAATTTGACACTATTTATTTCTATACAACTTTCCAGAATTCATATTTGTTAAACAATTTAATACTTTAAAGTTTGTAGCTTTTCAACCATTTCTTTAATATTCACTTCTATATAAAAAAATTACTACGCTTCAGTCCCAAATAAGTCAGCTCAGTTCCTATTTAAGCTCAAGTCATGTCATCATCATACTAAATAAAATAAGAGTTAAAAAAANCTTTCTTTATTAGTCCGTTCCAAAAAAAAATGACACATTTCTATATTTGAAAATAATTTAACTTTAAACTTTTCATTTTACCTATTTTAGCCTTAACAAGAAGTGATTTTGTTCGTCTCATGTATTGTATTTTCCTGTTGCTATTATTGGGTACTACTTATCCTTTATCTCTCCTTTTTTCTTTTCTCTTCCATCTATCTTCCTTCCTTGCTTTCCTCTTCTTCTTGCCCTTCCTGAGCCGAGGGTCTATTGGAAACAGTCTCTCTACTGCATTAGGTAGGGATAAGGTATGCGTACAGAATACTCTCACCAGACCCCACCTGTTGGTATCAAACTGGGTTAATTATTGTAGTTGTTGTTGTTAGCCTTAACCAAAAGTCTTTCTAGCCACACAAATGTCATATGACCCACAAAACTTTTACTCCTTAAATTTTTTAAGACCATGTCTCAAACTAACTCATATATAAATTAAAAGGGAGTAGATAGTAAAAATAATAATAATATTACCAGTTCTCTATTCTCTAGCAAGTCTAAAACATATTCCCAAATACCACATATCGAGTATTTAATATTCACTCCAACTATCACTAAAATGGAAACGGAAGGAGCAAAATATTACAAAAGATTTATTGAAAAAATATACTTCTGGGAATGCGAGAGAAACCTGATCTTGTTGAACGGTGGAGGACATGGAGGAGTTAGAAACAGAATCGACAGATGAAGAAACCATTGAAATGCAAGTTTTGGAAATATATTTTAAGGGAAATGACAAGTGTGGTTCGCTGAAGATGCCAACTTTCATAGAGCAGACAAAAAGGTTTGTGGCCAAATCTTTTTCTACTGGGTTGATTTCAAAATATTTCTTGTAAGTACAAATGGCGAAAGCAGTAGACTGAATTTGATGAGGGGCAAAAGTGAAATAACCGAGGTAAGATTAAGAAAAAGCTAAAATGGCCAATTTGCCCTTGAACTTTATGAAATGAAACTTATATATATATATATATATATATATATAAAACACGAAAACCCTTAGCGAAATGTCGTTCGCCTTTTTTACCCTTTAAAAATAGATCTCACATTGAACAAAATAGTATTATTTTTCTAATATTTAATACAATAGTTATTTAATTATTTTTCTAATATTTAGGACTTCTAAATCAACAAAATTTTCTATATTAGAATTTTCTTTATTTGAAGTTTTGAACCATGTAATATATCATATTTGTAAAAGAAAAATAGTGACACATCATAATACAGTTTTTAGGTTTAAAAGCTTAAGGAAAAACATTGCATATTCACATTAATAAGACTTCTAAGCCACATAGGCTAAAAGAAAACGAATAGTACAAAGAGGAAAACAGACAAGAAAAAAACTTACACTGCAGATACGCATTTGGAAAAATTTGAAACACTTTGCACTTCTTTTAGATTTAAGAGTCCCCTTTTTAACCTAAAAACGTGATTAATTAAACCGTTTATTTTGTTAATAAAATATTTGCAGATTAATTATTTACTAATATAATTTTAAGGGAATAGTTCACAATTATATAATAAATTTAGCATTATATGCTTCCAATGAGCTATTAATAAATTAAAAACTAATTCAATACTCTAATCCTTACTAAAAGAACATTAATGGATATAAATATTTATAAATTGTTATTCACTAAACACTAACTATTAATTAATAAGTTTCATCACTTACAAATGTGAAAAAATTATTTTCAAATGAAATAAAATAAAAAATCAAGATTTGAAGAAAAAATTATAAAGAATTCAATAATGAAGACCTAACAAAAATTAAAACATGACGAAGTTTTGGATGAGAGGTTCTATCAAATTCACTTTCATGACGTAATGTTATTATTTTTAATTTCTGAAATACAATTAATTAAGAGAGTTTTTGACAAGTCAAAAGATTAATAATGAATTTTTTATGATCTACAAAGCTAATTATACAAAGTAGCACACGAATTGTGTGACAAGCCCGTGTGTAAGGCATTGGGCACATACCAAGCATATGCCGAGCGCTTGAGCGTAAGCTTCGCAAGATAGGAGCTCACACGTAAGTCCAAGAGCATTTCACGAGTGTCTTGCCTCGTACCAGTCCATATTTTGCCTAACCCCATTTGGTGAATGGAAACAAAAGTGATTTGTAATAGTTAAATACAAAGATTCAAAATTGAAACATCCATCAACTTTTTATCTTTTGAATCCTTCTTATTTTAAAATATGTTGGAAGTTTAGATATTTAGGATTTAAAATACAATCGAAATTTTACGTTCTTATTTAAATAATGTAACATGACCAAATTCTTTTTCTCTCATAACATGACTAAAATTCATGAGAGAGAAAATTAAAGATGGTGGTCAGATAACTTCGATACGTAGTTGGCGGGAATACAATCACAATAAGTCATATTACTTCATTTATCGAGCTAGCTAGATAGGAAAAATGTTCATAATTTTTAGGAACTTATATATTTTTTATTTTTTAATACAAACATATTATTTAATAATATTTATACGATTTCTTAAAAAGTTGTATACTCACTGACATGGGTACACGCGTAACGCACGTAGCATAAGACTAGTTATTATAAAAGCACGAATGTTTCACGCTAAATATTAGATGACTAAAACATCCTCGTAATATTGATAGACTTTTATATCCTTCAAAATTTAAATTATCTCTTTAATATTTATGTCCAAAAACATAAAAGTGTTTCAACAGAGTAGAATCCAAATCCATTATAAAGTAAACTATCCTATCAGGTTATGACTTTCACTCCGTTAGTTGGTTATTCAAATAATGAGACTGAGAAACCCCAATTTGCTACACTATGGAATATAAATCTTATTTGGTCTAGAAGTCTAGTTCGTAATATAAGGCTAAAGAATCCCCAAATCTTTGTTATAAAGAAATAGAAGAAATGTCTGGGGCGTCCATTAGTTGGAAACATCAGAAGGAGGCGCCAAGGTATTAGTTTTATTTTATGGTATTATTGTAAAACGAAGGTAACAAAATTAGGTAAGGTATTATTAGTTTAGAGTTTGGTTTTGAGTTCTCAATGAGATTGAAATAAGGTGCATTGCATGTAATAGCAATGTACAGTGGCGGAGCCACATTCAATCAAGGGGTGTCAATTTGACACCCCTTCGGTAGAAAATTACACGATATTGCTAGATAATTTTTTTTATGTTTTATGTATATTTATTATACGTTGACTCCCCTTAATTTTTTGGTGTATTTAACTTTTTATATTTTGAAACTTCTTAGTAAAAATCTTGGCTTCGCCACTGGCAATGTACAATTTTCATGTTAGTCTACGAGTCTAAGTGTATGCTGTCATCAAGGTTAAACACATTTATGAATGCAACAACTTTTTTTGTGGATCGTTATAATACAACGGAACACTTTTTAGAATGTTGACATGAATACGTGAGAATTTTTCTAACATACTAATTGTTTTTTTTTTTTGGTTGAATATTTAGGTGGTTAAGAATTATAAATTTAGATATAAAATTCTAAAATAGTTGACATAGGATAACCTGCAACGCAACAAAAAGGTAATGACATGGAAGACATGAATAACTAAATAACTTCTTGTATATATATTGATTTAAAGAATTATTACTTTTATATACCTGAATTTTTAAGGCTTAATTAAACTAAACCATTGCATTAAAAAGATTATAACTGTTGTTGTATTGTTTAAGTGATTTTAAAACTTTTCGCATAACTCTTATAATGTTTAGTTTCATTTCGTAATATTAAAGAGATAATTTAAATATTAAAGAGATAATTTAAACTTTTCGCATAACTCTTATAACTTTTATATATATATATATATAACAACCATACACTATAAAAGCCAAACTTTTGTCGGAACCGATTTTTATACTATGTTATAATATATGTCATCTATAACAGCGCTTCACTATTGCAACCAAAAAATATCGAAACAAACGAGACTATTATAGAGAAGTATGTTTGTACATATATTATATTCTTGTTGCTTTTTGTTTTAAGGAACTAATTATTGAACTTTGTACATACTCAATAATTGTTTTTAGAATATTTATGCTATTAAAAGTTTATTACTTATGGTATGTGTAGCACATGATATTTCGTGCATCGCACGAGCATAGAGACTAGTTACTATAAAAGTATGAATACAATGTCGGTTTATAAAAATAACGTTATAATATTAAGCATAATAACTCATAATAAAAGGACATAACCGGAATTTTAGATATTAGCCTTCTAAACCTATTAGTTTTAGGATATAATACTACACATTAGAAATCCAACATGATTACCTTTAGGAATCCTATTAGTATAATTACTCTCGGGCTGTCTAATTCATATAAAATTGAACAAATAAATATCTTTAGTCATGTAATCCTATTACTTTTAGGATATACTTCTTAAAAATACCTATTACTAATTTAATTTGAAAACGCATTATAATGCCTTATTACTAATTTAATTTGAAAATGTATTATATTGTCCAAATTCATTTAGAAAAAATGAGAGCCTATATTATTATAAAATAATAGATACAATATTAATATATCGAAATAGCCCTAAAATATTAAACGGAAGAACTCATAGGTAAATGACATAAATGCAATAACCTATTTTTTGGACTATAATATATTCAATGCTAATTTTTCATATTTAAGATTTTAAATTAATAAAATTTTGTCTATTAAATTCTCATTAAAAATATGTATGAAGGTTTAATAAAATCAATTTCATAAGAATTTTTCGTATTGGCAATACATTACCACTACATAATGTCCAATACGAAGAAAAAATAAAAGTAATATTAAATAGACGACATAAAGAGTTTAAATTGAGAAGAAAAAAATACTCCCACGATAATATATTTTATTTTATATTTGAACTATTTTTCTACTCAAATAATATTTTTTTAATCCATTTTTCGTGTAATATTAAAAAATACCCAATCCTTAAACAACAACTAAGAAAATATTTAAGAATATAAATGTGTGAGAAAGAGAAAAAAAAGATTGGTAAGAGTCCATACCACTAATGATTCTACAAACATAAAGATCTAAAAGTGAAATGTTATCAATCTTTTACTCTTTCAAAATAAATTTATGGTGGATAAAATTATAATTAAGATTAAATATTCAAAACAAGAGATGAACTAATATTAAGATCTGAATTAACATATAATAAATTATTTTTTATGAGTAACTTTAATTAAATCAAATAATTAAAGTTATTTAATTATTTAGCAAAAGAATCCAATTCAATTATTTTTTAAATTCATCATATGAGTAAATTTTTTATTTAAGTTAAAAAAAAAAATATTATGGTATATAAATTTATTCCATAAAAAGAGCGTTAGAACAAAGTAAAAATGTTAGTATATTATTAAGAATCAAAATGATATACAAGTGTCTGAGGAAGCACAATCAAAGCTAAATCCTAAACAAGAACAAACTTTCAAGACTATATTATAAAGAGCCGACTCTGGTATAACGGGATTATTCTTTGTAGATACCTCCGGCGGAATCAAAATAATATTTCAATGTCATGAATTACTTGCAAATATCGTACCAAGATGACACTGTTAGCAATAATAGCAAGTGGTGTACCAACAACGATTTTATTATGAGCCACTGACTTTAGATTTGATATACCTCTTCAAACAACTTAAATAACTATCACAAATATATCAAAGCAGAGGAATTATGCTAAATTTATAAGGAAAGCAAAATCGATAATATGGGATGAAGCACTTATGGCTAAGTGTCAAACGATCAAAATAATTACTTGGAGTTCTAGAGATATATTGGATATTAATGAACCGTTTGGTGAAAAATTAATGGTTT